CTCCACTTTCTTCCATTTTATGCTGTCCTCTTCAGCTGAGTCAGTGATCGCCCATAATCTCTCATCTCATCTCCTTCCTCCATTTCACTCTCACACCGACGACTCACTCATAGTTTCCCATTTAGATTCTAGTCGAGTGATGGCCTACGTTGCACGCTGTTTCATTCGACGGTCTCCTCAACGTGTGCCCGATCCATCTCCATTTCCTCTTACACCAAAGTGTAGATATATGATATCGTTAACTCCAGAACAACCAGTCAATGCGGCATTGCTGCCAATTTCGTTAATCGCTGTTGAATCAGTATGGACTGTTTACCAATGGATGGTCCACTTTCGATTCGTATTTTTTTGTGTACCAATAGTACTGCTGGCGAAGTTAAACTTTCGACACCACTAACTACCAATCAGCGAATTATCCAATGAGATTCACGAACGCAGTTCAATGTTGTATAGCGCTTGATTCATTTCTAAGGCATGACCTTACAAGGCTGTTGTTGCAATTCGAGGAGGTTAGCGTTTTCCAGTATTTCCTAGATTTCAGTTGCGCCGAAAAGAACGAATTTGATTGTGTGGTGGTATCATGACTTTAAAAAGCTATACCAAATCAACTGATGGGTTTGTTCATCGTTGTGCTATATGTTTGAAGCCTACTAACACTAGAGAGGGTATGCTGATAATTTTATTATTTCGTAGGAACTTTTTTCGCTAGGTCGCTTCTCTCCCTAAGGATAGTAGATAGAAAAGCAACTGCTCTTATACCTATTATTACCAGACTTGTTAAGCGGGGGTCAATTATACACACCGACGAGTGGAAAGGCTACAATTCACTGTCATCTCTGAGATATATTCATCGTGGAGTCAACCATTCAAGTGATTTTGTGGATCCCGTTACGAGGACACATACAAATTCTATTGAAGGATTTTGGGGCAGGTTGAAAAATAGGATAAGGGCTATAAATGGATCTCATTTATGGTCATTTGGATGAACAAATGTACAGGATATGGTGTAACTTCTCCATTGACAGTCCCATGCTAAACTGGGCGATGTTTCTCTCACATGTTCGAGAAAGATATCCCATGTAACTTTTTTATTCTCTATTTTATGCGTTTTTCTACAAATATACATTTCCATTCATCATATATGCCTCTTTAATGTGATTGGTCCGTTCGAGGTCGTTTGCTGATTGGTTGTTAGTGGTGTCGAAAGTTTAACTTTGCCGTACTGTTGTTGGTGTGATTTGAGCAGGGTCTTCAGCGTGATAGGATGATGTCACTGCTATTCTTGCTAGTTGCATTACCAACCCCTAAGACCATGATATGATCAATGAAGATGAGTAATTACTCAGCAGTTTCACAGAACAAATGATGTTTTGTTGTGTTATTTAGCTGATGAACCAGTTCAAGTATGTACACAGTTTTGTTTTTTATTTGAGAAATTATTTTTGTGACCAGTAATGAACTACTAACAAGTAGTCGAAATCAACAGTCTAAATTTCTTCCCGGTGAGTTGATCTGCTTTGTTTCAGGTTAGACGACGGATTGATGTCAGTTAGAGAACCATTGAAGACCAGCAGGTAGTACTGGATAGCTGTTTCGTACTAGTTTTAGGATTATGAGAAATAGTTTGTTCACGAAACATCACCAGTTAATATTACAGTACAACTGTATAATTTATGAAAATCAAACAGCCTAAATCAAATTAGTTATTCATAAATTCAATCACGATTTATAATTTACACACTTTGGAGAGAGGAAGTTTCATCAGACAGTGGTGTGCGTTCTTTTGGATATCGTAAATAGAACTGGAGAATTTGAACATAAATGCATGATGCTTTATACTACTGACAAGATGTCGATGAGACAAGGGGATTCAGTTCCACCCTAATCCATAGGGTTCGTTGTCACTTTTACTGTCTTGTTCAAATATATGAGACAGTGTTTTCAACTGAATTATAGGGTTTAGACATTATAGTACTGTCGTTATTTACGTGAACTGGGTGAAAACGGATAGGGAATCAAATAGAACCAGATTGGTCATTCGCGTTCAGTTAGGAACAAACGTTGACTCATATTCCAATGTATGTTCTGGCTGGTACCATAAATGGTAGGAAGAAAGTAGCACACTACATGTCGCGTGAACTTGTCCACTTCATTGCCTACAGAGGCTGGCGTCTGTAAATTCGCTGTTCTTCCACCTTTTATGTTCTCTTTATTCTTTGCATGACTTGCCTGATGCAGATGAAATGAAACTCTGTTAAGTATGCAGACGATCCAACTGTTTCAATGTCTGTTAAAACTCAGCTGGATTGTAATAAGGCGAACAGCTTTCTATCAGGAGTCAGCAAATGATCTTCATCTAATGGTCTTAAACTAAATCCTTCCAAATGTCAGACTGTTAGTGTCAGTTTGCAATTTAAAAGAAAGTTAAATGAAAGTATTAATTCCCACGACCATTGTAAAATTGATGATAGAGATGTAGAAATCAAGTCTGAAGTTAAGTAAGTATCTTGGATTAATTCTTTCGTCTGATCTATCCTGGTCTTCCCACCTCTTAGCGGTTTCTAGTAAAACATTCCGTCTGACATTTTACATTATGAAGTTAAGACACTCGGCCATAACTCAACCCTTCCCCCTCTTACAGTTTGTCAACTATTGCATCTTACCTATTCTTCTTCATTGTTCACCCGTACTTTTTGTTGGGTTGCTTAAAAAAGACTATGTCATACTTCGTAGAACTCTGAAGACTGTCAGTAGGGCGAATATCATACCATTGGGCCATATCTTTGACATCGTCATTAATAATAGGCACTTGATTTCATGTGACGAATTCGCTAAAGGAATTTTGTTAGACTATGAGAATCCCCCACTTTACCCGCAGATTTCAGCTCGCATCTCCTCTTCACATAGAACAAGAAGTCATTTCAAAAAACTTACCCACGCGCGCACGTCTAAGTATAAAAATTCCATGATACCATATTTGGCAAGTATTTAATTTAATTTATTTTTTTGGATTACAGCTTGATTCCACACCGTATTTTTGGTACAGGTATGAAATTTTCAGTATGTGATATCGGTAGCCCAAATTTTGTAGGCCGAGAATAGATATCAGGTGTGAGTGTGTGTGTGTGTGTGCAGACGATAGACCTCCAGACCATGTGCATGATCCGCGAAAGCCCTAACCGCTGTGCCACCGACGCATAGTGATGAAAGTAGTGATAGGTCTGAATTAGCTAACCCTCTTTGCGCTGGTAAATAAATAATTTTCTCCATCCTTGGACCCACAGGTTTTATTGTTATTATTATTGTTATATTTACAGTCCTCTCGCTTAGTTTTGTTTATTTTCTCATAAGTGTAAACATCATTTAAGCTGTGTAACGGTCATTATTTTATTGTTTTCCCCCTCACCATGCCTCCAAAGCCTCAGGATGGTCGGGGGTGGGTGCCTTGCGCTGCGGGTTGGCCACCCCTCCGCACACCTCTTGAAATGCTCCCATATGACCGGGTGTCTTACATAGCCTCTCCTAAGGAAGTCCTACTCACTGCCTTCACGTGGCGGAGGTGTTTCTCACCAAGGTGAGAGGGGGAAAGCGGATGCCCGGCGCTCTCCACCGGGTTGACTGTCCATTGGATGACAGCCTAGGAGAGATGGCTAAACCCTGATTCCAAACCTCCAACGACTGGCGTATGAACCTCACTGGAGCTCACCGGCAGACGTATGGACAAAGGGCTTGTTGGATGTCCTGGATGTCTGGCCTCATTCAAAAAGGCGTATGAACCGAACTCCGGTCACCGGCTGCCAATGGATAGTGGACTTCCTACTCCACTCCTACTGCCTTGTAGGTCACACTTGGTTGTGTAAAGGCTAGAGCTGCACTCTCAAACAAAAGGCCGAGCGATGCTGGGGACATCACTCGTACCAAATTCCCATGAAACTTCATGAACTCTCTTACAAACAACTCTCACCATGACAGCTGAAGACATAGCTTGGTACAGTCAAGGCTGATATGGAGTGGCTGGGGCTACAAACCGTCTACGGACTCCGTATGTAGAACAAGAACTGGATATCCCTGTCGCAAAACCTTGCATCAGATCCCCGCGCCTGGGCAGCGATGATTCGAGACGTTCATGAAGCCGGCTCATCCTCCCGTAGGAGATAGCCGAAGTAAAGTAAAATAAGTAAGTCACCATGATGTGTTCAGAGAACATCAGATTCAGTATTCTGTAACTTGGTAAGATTTCCATACAGTATGGAAAAGTGTCGTTTGAAACAAACCTACTGTTATTACTACTACTATTACTGTTATTATTCTCATTTTATACTTTGCACATTTTTGACATTATTTCTAATGTAAATGTGGAAAAGTTCCTGTGGTTACTCTTAGTTACACTTTGAGTAAATTAGATGCAAGGTGTTGTGACAAATGCTGAAAATTCCAAACTGTATTATAAGTACTGTTTCTAGAATAAAGCAGATTATTATTATTATTATTATGTAAATAAGTGGCATAATCTCACAGCATACACTACCGACTGATATCAGAAGTTGGGGATAACTTTGACATTACTAACTACAATAAGCGATTTAAATATCGATCAGACGGCTGTTTCACTCGTCCCGAAGCCGAGATAATACATGGTGTATCTTAGATTACTTAGTATCAACAGCCATTTCAGTTCAAACCACACGAATAACATTGGATTTCATATATATTTTGGGGTGGGGGAGGGTGTTTCCAATTTCCCTCTTTCCATTCCCTTCAGATGAATAAGACATGCCAGACAGTTGGTCATCGCTGATAATGTGTTGTGGCTGGTGATAGCAGTAGGCAGGGAGGAAAATAACACTGGTCTGTTACGTAATATTGGGTATTCCTAGTGTGCGTGTGCGTGTATAAACTTATTCATTGTACCATCCGATCAATCAAGTGGTCTATTATATTACTCATTAAAAATGGTAGTGATAAAATGAATTTATAAATACCTAAGTTGTTATCATTACCTGTCTGAGTCTTTGGGATGCATCCTTCTGTTTGACTGTATTGATAATTTGATAAACAATCGCATTTGTATAAATCTCCGCCAAGATTTAAGCATGTACCCCATTCACATTTGTCTAAGATATCATTTCGACTGCAAGGTGACGATTTCATCATAGAATTTATATGACTTATGTCAATTAATTTCGTTGGATGACTTGTATCTATCATAAAAACAAGGGATAAGTAGAACAGGTGAAAATAAAAATCAATTAAATCAATTGATTCCATATTAGTTTGTTTATTATTGTATCTACTAATTCAACTGTGCTTATGAAGCAGCAAGTTAGAGCGGCCACTGCTCTAGGGACTTGAGTTTTCGTGCTCACTTGAGAACACCTCCCACTATGGCTAAGTAAATGTGTAGTGAAAACCATTAACAGTCAGATTTTGAACCATCTGATGCAAACCGGCCACAAAGCCATTCAGCATTGAAGAATCCTTCTCTATCATCTATCGGGTGCCTAACAAATTGCCAAAAACATCGAAGCACCTCATGCTCCAAACAACAGAGGCTATCGCGATTTGCGTGAAACAACCAGTGATTTGTGTTCGAAAGAAGCAAGTCCAGTCAGCTACTGCCTTGTTAAGCCTTCAGTCGAGAATATAAATCCAGGGATTTGTATTATCTCTCCTAATTTCTCTGACATTCAGGGCGAAGTTAAACTTTCGACACCACTAACTACCAATCAGCGAATTATCCAATGAGATTCACGAACGCAGTTCAATGTTGTATAGCGCTTGATTCATTTCTAATGCGTGACCTTACAAAGCTATTGTTGCAATTCGAGGAGGTTAGCGTTTTCCAGTATTTCCTGGATTTGAGTTGCACCAGAAAGAGCGAATTTGTTTGTGTGCTAGTATCATGACTTTAAAAAGCTAAACCAAATCAACTGATGGGTTTGTTCATCGTTGTGCTATGTTTGAAGCCTGCTAACACTAGAGAGAGTAAGCTGATAATTTTATTATTTCGTAGGAACTTTTTTCGCTAGGTCGCTTCTCTCCCTAAGGATAGCAGATAGAATAGCAACTACTCTTATACCTATTATTACCAGACTTGTTAAGCGGGGGTCAATTATACACACCGACGAGTGGAAAGGCTACAATTCACTGTCATCTCTGGGATATATTCATCGTGGAGTCAACCATTCAAGTGATTTTGTGGATCCCGTTACGAGGACACATACAAATTCTAATGAAGGATTTTGGGGCAGGTTGAAAAATAGGATAAGGGCTATAAATGGATTTCATTTATGGTCATTTGGATGAATATATGTACAGGATATGGTGTAACTTCTCCATTGACAGTCCCATGCTAAACTGGGCGATGTTTCTCTCACATGTTCGAGAAAGATATCCCATGTAACTTTTTTATTCTCTATTTTATGCTTTTTTCTAGAAATGTACATTTCCATTCATCATATATGCCTCTTTAATGTGATTGGTCCGTTCGAGGTCGTTTGCTGATTGGTTGTTAGTGGTGTCTAAAGTTTAACTTTGCCACATTCAGTTTATTGTTATGTTGATGCCATTGAACTGTAATCCATTGATTTTATTATTGATTCGATGTTATTTAAATAACATTAATGTTGTTCATAACACTAATTCATTCATTCACTATAATGTATATATAACTGTAGAACCTGATGAAGAAGAGGTTATCGAAAAGAGTAATCTTTGTTCAGCAGCCATTCTTTTGAAAAATTATAATGGGCATTTTTAATCAGTTGAAAGAGTATACCCATGGAATTCAGGGTGATAAACAGTTATGTCTCAATTGTCAAGTAATCACACACAGGTTAGAAATGTCAATTTAAGTGTATAATTAACATTGGTTCTTTACCTCAGTTATCAAAAATACCATATACGCACAAATATATCGAGTCTAAATTGAGACAACTTCTGATAATATGACGAGAAAATGGAACAACTTACACTTCGATGTTTTGTCAATGTTTTTGGCAGGTATTTTTTCAACATCGTTTGTACTTGCATCATTTTGCCACATGCTGTTTGTTTCTGCTATAAAAAGCGACGAAAAATGAGCAGAAAGAAGGATAATATCAGTTAAAATTCAAGGCAAAATGAATAACTAATTAGGTACTCAATTCAATTTTAGATTTTCCCGTCGACTGACTGGACAGAAGTGCTAGGTTTCAGGTTGACATGTCTTGTTGGCTTCTTGTGCAGATGCTTCGACGATGTCTGGGCATTTAATTAGAATTCAATTAGTGGATGGTGACTAGCAGTGGAATTCAGGATAACGCGCATTTCGTCCTATTCGGGACTCGTCAACCAGCTGGATATACCTGAATTCCCCAGTGAGTGAGGGATGTTATTCCTACCATCGAGGCCTGAACCCAGTGCCCATAGTTTCAAAAGCCAGAATGTTATCCATTAGATCCCTTGGGCCACGAGAGCCAGCCACCTCTTGCACAACGGATCATATTAATTATTTAATTGAATTTTAGATTTTCCCGTCGATTGATTGGGCTGAAGTGCTCCTCGGTTTCAAGTTGACATGTTAGCTGGAACATGTCGGTGAGAACATCATCATTCACTGCGGAATGCAGGTACATCCACTGGCTGACGAGTCCCAAATGGGACGAAATGTGCGTTATCCTGGATTCCACTGCTAGTCACCATCCACCAATTAACTAATTAGGTAGTGTCTTTTAATTAGTTAGTTATCCACGAGCTGTGATCAGTGTTCACCACTTATGAGATGGAAATGTTGACTTTTAGGTCAATTAATATGCATCTTGATAGAAAGGGTAAGTGACAGAGAACTCTATCAGGCGAAGAGATCAATCAAGAACCTTATCATCTTACAAAAATGTGGACGAAAATGAAGATAGATAGGACAAACACGGGGGAGATCAATGAGTGGCATCATGAGTCAGTCCTTAGGGTGGAATCCGAGTTGAAATGGACATCCTGATTACATTTCATCCGTTAAAATCATTTGTCCTACTATGTGACTCTGATTCACATATTCGACTTCTCGTATGCTGGATAATCTTGCTGTTTCAGTGCCTATCATTTACTAGCTTTCTATGAGAAGTCAGTAAATGGTCTTTGTCTAATGGCTTTAAACTGTTAATTTCAGTTTTAGATGTAAGAAAGATTAAATGAAGCTGTTAATTCCTATGATTGTTGTAAATTTGGTAATAGTGATATAGAAATCAAGTCTGAAGTAAAGTTTCTTGGATCAATTCTCCCTTTTCTTCCCCACTTCTGGGCGGTTTCTCGTGAAATATTTCGTCTGACGTTTTACATTAAGAAGTCAAGGCTCTCAGGCATGACTCAATCAACGCCTCCTTTTACAGTTTGTCAACTCTTACAGCTCACCGATTCTTTTTTATTGTCCACCCTTATTCTTTCCTGGATTGCTTAAAAACGACTAAGTCATACTTTATGGAACTGTGAAGACTGTCAGTAGGGTGAGTGGCAGTATTCCATTGTACCATACCGTTGAAATCGTCATTGATGATAGGCCCTTGATTTCATGCAACATTTTCGCCAATGGGATTTTGTCAGACTGTGAGCATTCACTTGTTCTACAGATTTCACTTTGCATCTCCTCTTCAGGTCGAAAAAGAAGTCATTTCAAGAGAATTTATACATTTATGTCTAAGTATAAAAATCCCGCTATACCATATTTAGGACGTGTTTTATGTGAAGAAAATACTGTTGGGCAAGAATTACCAAACCTTCTTTCCACTAGTAAATAAACCAGTTTCTCCACTCGTATACCATCAGGTCTTATGATTATTATTCCTACTATATTTATAGTACCCTTGTTTGTTTATTTCCTCACAAGTGTAAACATCATTTAAGCTCTGTAACGGTTATTATTTTATTGTTTTCTCCTTCACTATTATGTGTCCAGAGAATATCAGATTCAATATTCTGTAACTTTGTAAGATTTCCATACTTTATCAACAATATTGTTTGATTGCATGGAGGATTTAATCATGAGCTGACATCAGTTAGAGAACCACTGGAAAACCTGGGAGTACTGGACACCTGTTTCGTCCTAGTTTGGAACTCTTCAGCAGTACGCACCCACCGGGATTCGAACCCAGGACCTTCTGGTTACAAGACGAGCTGGCTCGTAGACCATTGAGCCACTGGGACCCGATCCAATGGTCCTTGAATTCTAACCAATACTTGAATATTGTTTGAAACAAACCCACTGTTTTTCTTCCTATCATTATTATCATTACTATCATGGTTAATATTCTCATTTTATACTTTGCACATTTTTGACATTATTTCTAATGTAAATGTGGATAAATTTCTGTGGTTACTGTTACTTATACTTTGAGTAAATTAGACGCAGTACTGTGACAGGGACTGAAAGTCCCGTGATGTATTAAAAAATGCTCTTTCTGGAATAAATTAAATCGCTATTAATGATTAATATTGATAGTTACGAAAGTGAAAACCCGTCACTTTGTTTACTAGGAATGCGAATGTACAACTAAAGAAAATGAATTCACCGAAGACAGCCTCATCGGTGACCTACTCGTTTTGTTCTTCTCGTTAATGCCTAAATCAGGATTATTCATGAATTGAAAAGTGACTACTTATAAACTAAGTGATAGAAATTTAATTAGGGTTGAGAAAAATAGTACACACACACAACAACAACAACAACAACAAACCTTCAGGCTTAACGCATTCACGTCCTCCATGAGCTAATTTATATCCAGGTAGACATTCACACATATAACCATCACCACCAAGATTTAAACAAATCCCACCATTACATTTACTGGCTATTTCATCATGACCACATGGAGTTGATCGACGACTTATACCACGTAAATGTAACGCTGTTGGTTTAGCATATTTCGTATAAGCTGAATCCTGTTGCTTATCTAATAAACGATGATTTGAAATAAAAATAAGAGGAAAGGAAATTTTGAGTTTAAACTACTGAAAAGAACTTCACAACAAAGTTGGCATTTAAAATGTTAGAACAAGACATATAGTAAGCGAACAATATTGTGGTTTTCAATTAGATCTTCTTCCTGAGGCTTTACTCTAATTTACATAGATTTATGTATACAAATTTTTAACCAATGACGGTGATTTTTGTGGATCAAATAATAATAATAATAATGTGGTAAATATTTTGAACGAAGTTAATGACGATGATTATAACGATAACAAAAAATTGATAATAAGGTTTATGGAGGTGGGGACAAGAATAACAAAGGCGGTTATATGTGTATATGCAGACAATTCAATAAATAAATACTAATTATTATTATATCCTTTAATTCCTAGAGGAACATAGGGCTTCAGCTTCGCGTCTCCATTGCCTTCGGTTTTCTGCCAACTTTTTCACTTCGCTCCAAGTCTGCCAAAATGCTTTCATCTCCTCTTCAAATGACCTCTTCCAGGTCACCCTTGCACTGACGACCAACTCGCCGCTTCCCTTTCAGGTTCCACTCGAGGGCATGTCTAGTGATATCACTTTCTGGTTTCCTCAGAGTATGGCTAGTCAATCCATCTCCATTTCTTCCTGCCTATTTGTTTCACAATCGGTTCCTGGTTGGTTCGCTCATTGCCAGAGATCTCTGTTGTTGATCTTTTCTGGCCGGCCATCTGATCTTGAGTATTGAGCAAAGACAACTGTTAATGAAGGTCAGTAGTATATCTGAGATTTTCTTTATGACGCGCCAGGTCTCTGATCCGTATAGTTAATAAATAAATTAGGTGAAATCTCATGAATTATGATGAACGCAACTTTAATAATTTTACACACTTATTAAATTCAACAATCTGCATTTGGTTTCATTATCTATACCAATTGGCCAACCTGACAACGCAAAATGACCCCGTGCTGAGGAACGATGATTAAGTTGTTATATAATGCAAGCTGAAAAGATTTTGTAAATTCTGGTTTAATCATACTACTTTGATGAAGCTGCTAGCAGAATCATTAGATAGCGAAACGTCAGTAAAAACGACAACAATATCGTTTTGTTTTTTATTCATTCATTGGGAAATACAAAAAAACAACCTCTATTATAATGCAATATGACGCGTCGTCAAAATACATCTTTCTCGATGAAATTTGCATATGTGAATCAACCAGTCTCACTGAAAGTTTAGTTTCACAGTTTGGTCAAACAGTTCATTCACCCACACCAAATACCATTACGATAAAATTTGTTCATAAGTAAAAACACGGTTTTTTTGTTCAGTGAAGAAATTTCTTTTCAATGACTTCATTTTCAAGCCAACTGTACAGTCGTATTTATATTAGAGAAAAAGGTGGTTATTAAGTGGCACTAGATAATTGCTCAGTCAATATACACATCATCATAAGTGATAAGAATAACGATAATTACAATGTTAGTTATAAGGCGTAGAGGTGAAGTGGATAAATTACAGAATTATTAAAAATTGTTTTATAAGTGAATTGATGTCAAAAATGGCAAATGTTGTCTAAAAAATTTAAAAAAATTAGGAGTACGATTACAATAAGAATGAAGATGTGAAGTGAAGTGGAATGAACTCAAGTGGTAAAATAAAATAAAAACTAGTAAGAACATTACTATGACCAAAGTAAAGAAAGGGGTTTGACAAAACGTTTTTGAACACATAATTTAGGTTTCTGTTCATGTATAGCTAAGGCTTCGGCTAGCTATGCATAAGTGAAGAAAACGTAAACTTTTGGATCGATTCGATTTTGCCATGTAGACAGCCTTGAAGGATGAATCACTTGGGGCTAAATGACCAGACTCTAACAGGTGATCACAAATAGATGATTTCGCATAGCCGAAGCTTTAGCTATACATGAACAGAAACCTAAATTATGTGTTCAAAAACGTTTTCAAGTATTGGTTTTGTAAGGATTTTGTTTGATTGCATGGAGGATTTAATCATTTAATCTCTAAATGATGTCAGCTCATGATTAAATCCTCCATGCAAAAACGTTTTGTCAAACCCCTTTCTTTACTTTGGTCATAGTAATGTTCTTTCTAGTTTCTATTTTATTTTACCACTTGAGTTCATTCCACTTCACTTCACATCTTCATTCTTATTGTAATCGTACTCCTAATTTTTTAAAATTTTTAGACAACATTTGCCATTTTTGACATCAGTCCACTTATAAAACAATCATTGATAATTCTGTAATTTATCCACTTCAACTCTACGCCTTATAACATTGTAATTATCGTTATTCTTATCACATATATATGCATATTGACTGAGCAATTATCTAGTGCCACTTAATAACCACCTTTTTCTCTAATATAAATACGACTGTACAGTTGGCTTGAAATTGAAGTCGTTGAAAAGAAATTTCTTCGTTGAACAAAAAGCAGACTGTGTTTTTACTTATGAATAAATGGGTATTTTTCATGATAAAATTTGTGTAAATATTTTTTTTTAAATTTGGCTAAAATAAATAATAATTGTAAACCGTTTTTTCCCCCTTCAGAGTTTGATAAATTCATCACATTTTAGTAAATATTATCACAGGTGTTATTTTAGACATCAAAAATTCATGATCATCAGTTTATACATAAAAAAATTGATAACAAAAACAGTCGAAACATTTTATGACACAGTTTGTTTTACTGTAACAGCAACAAATACTAAACTTACTAACTGACAATTATTCAAACTTTCCATTTTGTACAGATTTCGATTAAATTAGAGGATTTCATCATAGGCTGATATCGGTTGGAAAAGCATTGGAAAAACCAGGTGGAAGTATTGTCGGACAGCTGTTTCGTCATATTTCGGGACTCTTTAGGTGTAGGCCCCGGCAAAGGATACTTTGATTGGATACTAGGTAGTTACTAGTCAGTAAGCAGTCAGCCTTGCCGACTAGTAAGTGCCAACAAGCACGTAACTATCTGCACTTATCTAACAACAATTTGGAATACATCTTAAATGGCATACCACCTAGTAGCATGATGTTCACATTGTAAACTCGACTGAGAGAATTCAGTCTGCAATGACATCAAGGACTAGACGTCTGACGTTAATTACTGCCAACTGTTCAGTCAAAGATATAAAATTACATAATATGGAATCGTATTCTACCATACTGCCAAAATTCTATGCTTACTTTGGTATGTACCTGATAGTGATAAAATTGGTGATGACAAGAGGTGGACTGAAGATTCGCAACACGGTAGAATTCGAACTAGAGGTTTCCTTTATGTCTAGTCCAGTGCTCTGCTTACCAGTGAGGTCTCACGGTTCAGTAGATAGTGCAACGGACGAGTTGTTCGAAGACCACTTGTCAGCATCCTACTGCACAACAGATATTTATTTCACCATCAGTCATCGTCAGTAACATCAATATCTTCATAATAATTCCTCTTCTAATTCGTGTATATGTGAAGGATGAACTGGTCAACTTCGATCAGTGAAATGTGCGTTTATAAATTCACTTACTCATGTGCAGCTAGTCATTTTGGCCACATAAAGCGCACACTTCCAAAATGTATCTCTAAACATTATCCGTCATGGTCATCAGTAGGACAACGCAAAACAATTTCTAGCTCAGTTTTCGTATACCAGGTGAAATCACGTCACACAGCACCATTAGAATCATCTTTCAAAGCCATTTACAAGGTGACACTGAATGGTACAAGGGTTGTTACGCGCTTCGGTGTTTGTGAATGGGAAATGCACTAACGAATTATCAAATCTGTCTACAGAAACGTTTGATTCAGTCTCATATTTGGCCATGGCCTAAATCTCTTTACCAATAGTTACTGAATCAATTGTGCCACTCCCTATTAACTATTAACAGACTACTCTACGGCGTTTGAAGATGATTTCATAGATAGGGAAGATTTTCTTTACTGATATGACTTTTGTTTCATTTATCACTTGGTGGATATTTTCGGCCCTCTAATTTTTGTTGTTCATCTCATATCTTATTGATTTTTGAAAAATATTTTGTTTGACCTACTTTGAGAGAGACTTGAGAACTCCTGGCATAATTCAGCCTCTTGAATTCAAATATTCTACCAGATCTCCTTTATTACCACCCCGGTTATTCTTCCCTGAACTTCTGAAAAAAAGTTGTGACATTTTGTATATGGCCTTTTAGGTTGCAAACAGGTTTAGCAAGTATTCTTTGACACAACTAAATACGACTGTTGTTGATAAACTTCTAGGTTAGTTCAAGAAGTTGGCTAAGGTAACAACCTCTCCATTCAATTCAAGACTTTCTTCATATATCTCTTCTGAAGAAGCTAGATCAGGTTAACGGTGGAATTTGTTTTCATACAACTGAATAGGAAAATTTAGACATTCCCTATTTAGTTCCATATTAGTTTGTTTATTAAATGTATCACACAGCGAACCAGTGTTACATACTGGATGACGTTTCGAAAACAATTTATTTATTGTTCATAATCATGTCATCAATTAATAATCACACAACTTTGAAACTTGACTTTTATAGTTTTCTTTGTTCGCTCTTATTTGTCGTCGTTGGGAGTAGTAGTAGAATTTTCCAGATATCCGACTGGACAGGTGTTGAATCATTCCTATTACACGTATTCCCTTTCAGTTGATTCGATAAATAAAGCTTCTGTTGTCAATCTCTTCCTCCAACCAGCTGTTACATTCGATTTTAAAACTGTCATCCTATGTCATCACACTATTGTATGACTGCGTTGTGTGTAATTGCGTGTAGTGAGTGCTATAGCTGAACTATTTTCTAGATTTCTTATCTTATTAGGGTCAACTAATCTAGATTTTGTTAGGTTTTTGTGCTCGGTTAGTCAGACTACCCTAATCTACTAGTTTGATCTATGTATTTGATCTGAAAATCATTCCAGCAGGTTATTAGATAAACTAAATTGTTTCGTTTTATTAGCTCCACAGGATCCTTTAGCCGATAAAGCTTGTTTCTAATTGAGTTTGTGGGTGGTTTGAATACCAGGCACTTTTATTCCTACCAGCATTGTTAAGAGTTCTGTATGAGATGGTTTCCGAGGTTCCTTCTTTGTATGGAATTACTACTGATGATTTAGATTCCTTATTGTTAGTGTTGTCATTATCCTGTGCATATTTGGCATGCATGTCGTCATTAATATTTCTATTATTAATATAATTGTTATTATTATTACTAGCACTATCACTACTATCATTATTTATTTTATTTTTACATTTCCCCATATACTTTCTGAGTGATTTATCAGGGTATTTATTAATTTTCAAAGCTTCTCCTATATGTCTCACTTCGCGTCTTAGATTTTCCTTGGTTCTACTTAGTTTTTGTGCTTTATTACTTAAAACTTAAGTTTATCGAATCAACTGAGGGGGAATACGTGTAATAGGAATGATTCAACAGCTGTCCACCCGAATATCTGGAAAATACAACTACCCCAACGACGACAAGTAGGAGACGACAAAGAAAACTATGAAACTCAAGTTTCGAAGTCGTGTGTTTATAATTGGTAGGATTATGAACAATAAATAAACTGTGTCATCCAGTGAATAATGCTATTTCTGTGACTGTGTGATACATCTAATAGACAAACTACTATAGAATTTCTCAATAACACAGTGCCTAAGTTTCACACATATATTATTACCCTATTTAACACGAGTGCCGTATGAGAGAAACAAATGTGAGCCAGTGAACTAACAAACTTACCTTTTAGTGTGTGTGCTTAGTTCTGCTTTTCGTTCCTTGCGTTCCCACAAAGACTTAGGGCCCCAGGATTTTGAGGTTTCATTAGCGGCAGCGTTGTTTACTTTTACGCAGTGAGATTGCTAGCCTCATACTTAACCCTGCCTCATTTCCCCACTCACTATCAGCTGTTAGTCTTGCGAGTTTATGAGTGAGTCAAGAGGGAATCGAACTCAGGACCTGTCTGTTGTCAGGAAATATTCATCTACTGAAATTAGCTATATATGTCATTTTTGCGTATATATATCAGGTCATTCGAGTGCGTCGGTGGTTCACGTGTAGAATATGCGCTAACCATTAATGTGGTCAGGCGTTCGATGCCCATCCCACGCATTCCTAAACCTCACTAGGCCGGTAATAGGAAAAGTAAAGAGAGAAGGTTGGGCGTGAGGCTAGCCAGCCCGCCTCGGAGAAGAAAACACCACTGCTCTCGAAACTTCACAGTTCAAAGCCTGAAGGTTATTCAGGCTAGACTCAGAAACTACACTACAGAAAGGAGCAATACGTGTGTAGATTTAGTATCTTCATTCGTAGACTCGTTAGTTTATCTCTATCTTTACTTTTCAATAATGAAGGCCTTAAAATTCCTTTGCCTCAATTCAATACTTCACAATAAATGTATTATGCCTCGCTGATGTAAAACCCGGATTTTATTAGTCCATATACAGGGCGTAAAATGGTTATATTACTTGAGTTATATATCTGGAAATTGAAAGGAGCTAGTAGGGGGAAATCCATCCTTGATTTTGTTGTTCTCTTCCCGATTAACAGATACTACCACTGGAAATGAATGACTATACACTAATTTGTTGATGGAAACCGACATGGAATTGACTGTATAGCCAAAAAAGTAAATAGGTTTTGATGAAATTTTTTGTTCTCTGAGCTGGATAGTTTACAGCTTAACGATCACCAAAATCGTTTACCTGAACTATAAATATTCTCGATTATACTTGCTAAACTGCTTATTTTGGTTTTCGCCACCGATAACCAGAAATACTTATTCTATTGGAAGGAATCATAGGTGCCTTGTGCTACAAATTAATTGTTCATATAGGTAGCTGGGAATCATTCGTTCACACTAATAAAGAGAAGGTAGCGGGTAGAAGAGATTGATATGTCAACTGGAATATTGCTTTATGTGTATACGAAATGGATGGGAATCGAAATTTCAGCGTGACACGGTCACCGACAAAAGCCAGCAACCTTCTTTAACAACCTATCTACCTGTGAAGCATCGTTTCAACTGCAGACGGACGGATCTGATTAGGATATCAAAGCGAGAATCGGGAAAGCAAGGCAAGCTTCCTCTACAGTGTGGAATCAAGCTGTAATCAAAAATAAAAAAAATACTCTCAAGTCTCTGCAGAGATCAATAGCACTCAACATGGAAAATAAGATCTGAATTTTCAACTCCAATGTGAAGTCAATCAGTGCTACTTATTATACGGATCAGAGACGTGGCGCCGCCCCACGTCACGAAGGGCACTTCGAACAAGCAACACACACACTCATCAACAGCTGTCTTCGCTCAATACTACTCAAGATTAGATGGCGGTCAGAAAAGATCAGTAATAATGAGGGATACAATTGGTGGATGGTGGCTAGCAGTGGAATCCAGGACGCGCATTTCGTCCTATTTGGGACTCGCCAGCTGGATGTACCTGCATTTCTCAGTGAGTGATGATGTTCCCACCGAGGCTCGAACCCAGTACCCATAGTTTCAAACGCCAAAGCGTTATCCACTAGACCACTTGGGCCACGAGAGCCACCTCTTGTGCAACGGGTCATATTAATTATTGAATTGAATTGTTTGATTTTCCCGTCGATTGATTGGACCGAAGTGCTCGGTCTCAGGTTGACATGTCGGCTTCTTGTGCAGATGCTTCGACGATGTCTGGGTATTTAATTAGTATACAATTGGTGGATGGCCCAAGTGGTCTAGTGGATAACGCTTTGGCGTTTGAAACTATGGGTACTGGGTTCGAGCCTCGGTGGGAACATCATCACTCACTGAGAAATGCAGGTACATCCAGCTGGCGAGTCCCAAATAGGACGAAATGCGCGTCCTGGATTCCACTGCTAGCCACCATCCACCAATTGTATACTAATTAAATACCCAGACATCGTCGAAGCATCTGCACAAGAAGCCGACATGTCAACCTGAGACCGAGCACTTCGGTCCAATCAATCGACGGGAAAATCAAAAAATTCAATTCAATAATAATGAGGGATCTCTGGGAGGTAACCAACCCAGTAGGAACCAATTGTGCAACAAATATTCCGGAAGAAAGGGGGTGGACTGAATTGGTCATACTCTGAGAAAACAAACCAACATGGAGTGACATCCATCACACACCAGGCTATCGCTCAAGTGGAACCCGGATGGGAAACGACATGGGACAAGGGCAATCCTGGAGAGAGGTAAAAACACACCAGAGAAAAGAGTGAAATGACACTGTATTCCTTTGAAACACTTTGCTCCATTCGGTACCGAAGAGAGAAAGAGTAATACTATTATTCGTGCGAAAATGGCCGATTGATTAAAACTGATAAATATACATATAAATATACATATTTGGAGATTAATGCTTTTTGTATACAATTGGTGGATGGTGGCTAGCAGTGGAATCCAGGATGCGCATTTCGTCCTATTTGGGACTCGTCAGCTGGATGTACCTGCATTTCTCAGTGAGTAATGATGTTCCCACCAAGGCTGGAAATTCAATTCATTAATGCTTTTTCATTTGGAAAATACATGCTACTCGTTAGTAGGGTGTTGTAAGTTTGAGGAATATATTAGGAATAGTCATTCTTTCACATTTTAACAGTGAAATATCAGTTAGAGAACCATTGAAAACCAGGGAGTACTGGACAGCTGCTGTTTCATCCTAGTTTGGGAATCATCGGCAGTACGCACCCACTGGGTTTCGAACCCAGGACCTTCCGGTTACAAGGCAAGCTCGTATACCATTCAGCCACTGGGACCCGATTCAATGTCTCGTAAATTCTTACTTCTACCAATTCGGGTTCGAAACCCAGTGGGTGCGTACTGCCGATGATTCCCAAACTAGGATGAAACAGCAGCTGTCCAGTACTCCCTGGTTTTCAATGGTTCTCTAACTGATATCAATCCGTGATCAACTCGTAAAACATAACTAATCCTTACAAACCAAAACTATAGAAAGTGAAATATCAACTTTAAAAAGTGGAAAACTTACATTGTGTATAAGATTTCTGTTTCAGGTTGAAAGGTTTTCCTTGTAAGTGATCATTTTGCCACCAGTTATCGTTTTTTCCATCTGAAATGTGAAGCAGTAGGCAATTTGTGGAATTTATTAGTGAAAAATAAATTTGATGTCTGGACACAATTAGTCAGAGAAACTAAGATTATTGGATGGGGATGAAACGACTTGTTATCTCTCTATGTTTGAATAGATCTTAATTCTAAGCAAAGGATAAACAGTTCCCCCGATTAGATATGTTACGATGGGTGTTTCATCTATGATATCTGGTGATCAAAGTTATATTTTTCTGCTAGTTGTGTGACGGTGAGATAGAAATAAAACAGCTGAATGACTGGTTTTAACATAAAACACTTTACAGACGTGCAGCAGTTCGAGTTACCACACTCCCACCTTGCAGTACACAAAGAGAAAGAAGAGAGTAGAGAGAGGTTCACAAGAGAGGTAATAAACAAAAGTGTGAGTGAAGGTAGGACAAGAGTAATATACAAGGACAATATAGTTTTGTTGGTTATGACAAATCACAAGGAGCGAGTGCATCTAGGCCATCACTGAGAACGATTCAAAGCCATATCAACAATTGTCTCCAGCCATTACTCGTTCCAACTATCCAGAGGACCTCCCAAACAGACAGCTAGCTGGCTTATGAATTCAATTGACTGATGAAGCCATGTTCTGGTTTGACCACTGTATGCTAGCTATTTCCCAATATGATCGATCCTATGTCAGCTAAAACTTCCCGTCGAAGAAGGCAATAGCTAAACAAGCATGAGCAATAAATGTCAATCCATGGAACTTCAAACCCTCGTCGACTAATTTTCCCTCCTTATCTAGCACTCGACTAATTTCTAATCTCAATGTTACTCATCTTATTATACCACCTAACACGCTAGACAATACGCGAATAACTATGATCAAAGACAACTAGCTAGCCAGGCGTTTCATGTCTCCCAGCCTCAATGGTCATGTCTCACTCACAGTTAGGCGTAAAGGAAGACGTAGCGAACTTCTGAGCAGTACATTATACACGTCCTTTAGTTGACAGCCAACTGGATATCACGTTTATTAAGTCAGAGTGGCTGATATCAAGTGAAGTTGAAACGGTCAACTGTGAATGCAGATTTATACATGATAGGGTGACTCTAAACTATAGCAGCCAAGGCCGAAACTACCTAGCGAACGGATAAATGACCTTGAGCAACCAATCAGGTGGCTTCGTATTATCCAGACGTACTTATGGATGCTGTACACCTTTTGCCTTGGCAAATTCGCTCCAGATCTTGTTTTTGATATAACTGTTTGAAGAACAGACTGATAGGAAGGTGGAAAAAGTGTGAATGTGGAGGTGTCATGTATTATTTGCAAAGATATACTAGGTGTGTGCATTGATGGATTTGTTTACAGGTGCGATTAGTGCCGAACCAGAAAGTCAGTTCGAGAAGGTATTCCGTTCTGCTTTTTTAGTTTACTGATTCCGTAGGTACTTTTTTCGCCAAGTCTAAATTATCTCTAACGAAAATTTTAATGATGTGTCATAAATGGGTGCTCAAAAGACCAATAACAACGACAGGGTATGAATTAGAAAATTCAGAGGTATCTTCAGTGCAATGGTACCAGTACTGCAGAGATACAACATCATGGAGAATAAACTGGCTGACTCAAGTACTTGACGTGGTTTTGCGTCATCGCTCATGTGGATGACAAAAAAATGTAATCTAGAGAGACTGAATGCGAATCAGCGGTGAGTGTTGGGGATATATAACACCACCCTCCACAAAGGATACATTGAGGCGATCCCTAATCTCAGTGCTAATGTCCTATTGCCTATTATCGAAAGCTTAGTGATGCCTGCAACAACTATTCATACAAGTGAATGGATTAGTCATAGTCAGCTATCAACCCTGGGCTACATACACCACGTCGTCTAGCATACAGATGATTTTATCAATCCTTTCGATGGAACTCACACTAATTCCACCGAAGATTTTTGGAGTCACCTCAAAAAACGGATCAGATCTGTGAATAGATCAAGAAATGCAATGATAAACAGTTATCTCAATGAGTTCATGTACACCGCTTGGTTTAACATAACTATGAAGACTCCTATAAGAAATCAGGAGGTTTTTTGGAGCACATACGAGAACATTATCCTTTGTAACTATTTTTTAAACATTGCATTACTTTTATATAAACATTTTATTGAAATTATACGCCGTTTCTATAGAGGTTTTTGATAGGTCAAAGTTGTCATTGTCAAGGTCATTTATTCGTTCGCTAGGTAGTTTCGGTTTAGGCTGCTACAGTTTAGAGTCACGCATGATATAATCAGTCTTGCATTCCTCTAATTATGAGAATATAGTGTATATCAAAAGAAGTATTCAGACGGTCTGATTGGAGGCCTTTGGATCGTGAAAGCCAATGGCTTAAGATTAATTAGTGATATGGATTAAAATCGCATTCCTAATAATCTTAAATTTTTTTTATGAATTCGTTTTTTAACAAACAGCTGAATGAAGCCATTCGAATCAACCTGAGTAAGCCAAACCTGTCTGTTTAGAAGAAATTCGTACAGCCACTGCCTTACTTTGGCAATCGTAATGTGAATGTAGAAATCTGAATACATCGACCTCCCCTTAAGCCTTGTAAAATTGTAATTGTGCAAATTATTTTATTATGTTTTTCTGACTACTTCATCTTTATTTACAAGTGGTTATTGTCCAAATTATTTTATTTTTATTCAACTGTTGGTTTGCAAGGATTTGAATGGTTACAGGATTTAAACATGAACTGACATCGGCTAGAAAACCAATCAAAAAACTACAGAGGAGTAGTGGACAGCTGTTTCGGCAAACTAGTTTGGGACTCTTCATCAGTACGCGTCCAGCATAGGGGTTCGAACCCAGGACCTTCTGGTTACAAGGCGACAAGGTTACCATTACGCCGATAGGACTCGATTCAGTGGCCAATGAATTCCATCTTCCTCCCTAAAAGTTCGGGGTCCGAACCCGTTTTTGAGGGTGTGTACCCATGAAGAGTCCCAAATTAGATCAAAACAGCTGTTTGGCGGTACTCCCAGCGTTACTCTCCAATGGTGATGAGATGTTGTAATCATCACAGTTATTTTGAATCTGCTTATTTCTTTCTTCCTCTGCGTTTCTGTGGAGAAAGCGTGTTTCGTCTAGTTACGGCCCTGTTGGTCGGGTGTGCCTGCGTTCTAAATGAATGAGACAAAATAGGCGGAGAATAATTGTGAAAGTTACATTAATATGAACTGGTTTAATTTTTAGCATTTTGTAGGACAAGAGAAAACAGGAAAGTTGAAGGAATGTAGAAATACCCAATTAAAATATATTCGAAAATTTGAGAAAAATGACTATTTATACTTAGACAGTTATTTCCTCGGTTATGTTGCAAATCTCAAGAAGATTTACCTCTTTTACTGATGGATGAGTTTCTGACAGATGGCGATTTATCTCCAAAATAACTCATAAAAATATTAAACCTAAAAAAGGTTTTATGTTTCAAGTTGTACACTTTCAGCTTATATGTAGCATATCAGCGTTAACAGTTACAAACCCGCTGTAGGTGATATCACCATGGTGATGAGAAATTTTAGTTATTCCTTGAAAACATTAAAAACTTCTCCATTTTTAACTTTGATCACGTATTGATATGAATTAGGGAACCGTTGTAAAACCATCAAGGAATACTGGGTAGCTGGTTCGTCCTCGTTTCGGACTCATCAGAAATACCCGCCCCCGTCCACAAAAGTTAAGATTCAGGACTTTCCAGTTACATAGAAAGCTAGCCTACAGACTATTTAGCCGCTTGGACCCTCTTTAACAGTTAGCTTATGAATTTTAACTTCTACTATTATAGACAAGATTTTGTTATGATAAATCACACAGTGTTATACAGTAATATTAACTGATGACGTTTCGAGCACATACTATTTCTCATAATCATATCAAGTCACTCACACAGCTCTCTTGCTTCACTTAGATACATGTGTGGAATCAATTAGATTTTGGAATAAAAATCAATATAGAATAATGTACATTCAGAATTATTCGACAAAATAGTATAATTTACAAAATACCTTGCAATGACTGTGAGTGAGGTCAACTACATAGGTCAAACTAGTAGGTCGGGGGTAGTCAGATTGTCGAAACATAAGAATTTGGCTAAGGTTAGAATGATTGATTCCATGAAGACAAGCTGTTTAGAAAAAAGCTTAGCAGTTGCACTTCACGCATTAACATACACAACCGCACAATGGTATGGTGGGAGAGGGTTAAAATTCTAAGAAGTAATACTGATAGGTGTAGAGAGAGATTGACTACTAATTCCTGCCTGGTTCATTGAGTCTGCACCCGACACATGCAACAGAAATGACTCAATGCAAATACCAGAGATATGTATGGAAGATATTATTACCACCAATCTGTCAGTGAAATCAGAGGAGGATAATAAATAATCTTAAAATTATATTTCAATTCAATTCACGTACATTCTAACAAGTTACTTATTTATTTTGACTATAAAAACACTTGTCCTATTTCCCATCTGATTGTATTTGATTGATAACACTCATATTATTATTTCCCAATGAACATTATCTTATATTACTGATTTGTATTCAAATGTCTAATCATCAATTTTCACTCATGTATATAAATGAAGCAAGAGAGCTGTGTGAGTGATATGATTATGAGTGGCAATAGTTTGTACTCGAAACATGGTCATCAGTTAACATTACTGTACAACAAACACTGTGCGACACTTTATCAAAATAAAATCTTATCCATAATGGAGTTATACTCTACCACCACCACAGTGTCCAAGTTTTATAATTACATCACCAACTTCTACCAGTTTGTGATTTCATCGCATCTGGTATCAACCAGTCTCATCTTCGATATATTTCGTTTGCATTTCGGTTTAAAGGTTCAATTCCAAGCAGAAGGAACCACTTCTAATTCATTAACCAAAAGTAAGCTGAAGAAAGGTGGATAGTTCGGTTCAAAGCTATGGGAACTTCAAAGCTCAAAACCTGAATGCTTATGTTCAAAGCGAAGTACATACATTTAAACAATGCCAAATGTCAATGAAATACAAGGTGATGTATCTATGATGAGAACTCCATAATTTATATCTAAGCAAATTATACCAAATTGTGCATTATATACAATTTGTTACAACATACTAGTTTTAATACATATCTATAAACACAAGTCAATTATTATTATTCTTATTTTTCAAATAAGATATAACATTTATAATATATGAAAAAGCAATTCCATACATTAAAACAAGAATATATATTACGACCTTCAGTTTACTTAATTTATATTATTTATTTATTTATTAATTTTTCACAACGAAATGAACCAGATTACTTATTATTATGAATTGTTATTACTTATACTATATTTTTACACACTCTTCATTTATTCGAAGTACAAACGAACGATACTGAACAATCTGTTCAATGTGTTCAATACTGTTTGTTTTAATTGTTCTTTACGCTCCATATTTGAAATAGTAAACAATAATAATAAGAATAAGAATCATTGAAAGAAAAATCTACATAAATATTAAGGGGAATTACCATATTTATGAGGAGTGAAGAGATGAATGCATGGATGGATGTTGCTTTTACATATAACAAGCAAAATCAGTATTCTCTCTCTCTCGCTTTGTACTACGTGTAATTTTTACCATTTATGGTTTAATGTTCATTAGTTTATTGATACGAACTTATCCAATAGTTAGTTTAAGAATAATAATAGTAATAATATAATATAGTTTATAAAAAACTATAATATGGCATCCTATTTTGGGGAATAGAAAAATAACTACCCAGCGCCGACATTAAATATGGTCAAAAAGGTATTCCGAAAATATGAACCTCAACAGTTGTCATTCCACATAGATCAAACAAACATCAGAAGAGTACTAAATAAGCACAGAATAAGAGTTCCCTTCAAAACGTCAGACACGAACAATACACAGAGACCTTTATATGTTAAAGACCGAATTCAAAAGGACTCTCTATCTGATTGTGTCTATAAACTAAAATGCTTGCTTGGAATCCGATGCAATATATATTGGGAAAACCTCATTGCAGGGAAATAAAAATCAGAAGAAATAAACGCCGTAGAACCGCTTCTGTTCGACCTCCGTGCAATCCAGCTGAACTAGAATAGCTTATAAAATCATCAACCATAGGTCAAAATGCTACAGAATCAGAGCACAAAATTGATTTTGACAATATTGAAATATTTGAATAAGGCAAGAACAACAGTGGTACAGAATAATATGGTACCATCAATTTCGGCTTCTCATCAGCTGCTTATAGCCTAAATAAATTGTGAGGTTTAAGTACGGAAACGTTTTAATATACTTGCAAATTTTACTTGTTGTCAGTTGACAGAAAGTTTCACAATTAGTAAACAGTACTCAGAAAATAGCGCTTATAGAGTTTTTACACAGGCAGTTCAAGTTTAAACAAAATAAATTTATGCATATAGTGGTAAAGGAGTTACCTAATAAAGACGAGATATGCATTACATATAGAGTGACTAATAAGTTAGGTAACAATGTACTGAGTTGAACTCAAATCCTAGAAACAAGAGGCAAGAGAAATTACATATTATAAAAAGAGGTTGAGGTTAGAGACGAAGATTATGTAATCAGATGAGAGGCTAAAGACATCCAGTTACCAAGGCAAGGAAAGACTAATAACTGCTTCTTTCTGAACACGTAAATCTGGTTTCAAGCGTTTGATAGAAACTGTTTGAAATAATTCAGAAAAAGTATTTCAGAAATCACAAATAGCATCTAATCCCAGGTGCCCTTCATATCAGATGGAATCCCAATTGTCTGGTCAATAGGAATGATGGACTAAAACAAAATTTCATCTGGTTACAACACTTTCCTCTCCCATGAAATAACAAAATCAGCACAAATGTGATAAACAATTTCATTATGTAAACATACGCTGCTTTTATAATTTTATACGCTAATCAAATCCAACAATCTACACATGGTTTTACCAATTGGCCAACTTGACACCGTAAACAGAATTACCGCATGCTGAGGAACGATGATGATTAAGTTGTTATGTATAATAATTCGGTTTAAAATTACTAGTTAGACAAAGCTATTAGAAGCAGCCTTAAACAGCGAAGCGTCAGTAAAAGACAAAAACACTATTGGAAAATACAAAAAAACCTTTATTGTAATGAATATCATATACCCAATGCCCAAATTCTTTCAGATTGTTGAAAATAAACTTGGTTCTGACACATATAAAAGCCTTTGTAGTCATAAGTAAGCAGTACAGGAATGGATAGTTCTTGGGACTGCGAAGGTTTTTTTTGGTAACAGCTTGATTCCACACTGTATTTTCGGTACAAGTATGGAATTTTCAGCATGGATATCGGTAGCCCAAATTTCGCAGGCCGACCCTTAGATATCTGGTGCGCGCCGGTGTGGGTTCGAACCCCGGACCATGTGCATGGTCGTCGAGAGTCCTAACCACTGTGCCACCACTGCAGTGAAGATTAGACGGATATTGGTGTACAACAGAAGGCACCACTATCCCCGTTATTTCCCGCGGATTCCGGTTGGAACACAGGGCTACAGCAGGATATCCTCATTTCACTGTTTCCTCTACTAAGACGCAAACACAGTAGCTATCACTCCCATAATTATTAGTGGAGACATCGCAGAAGTGAGTGTGGAGCAAGTAGAACCAATTGATGAGCCTTGATTAAGACGAAATATGAGCTCTGGATTCCACTAATAATCAGAGTTAGAAATAAAGGAACTAAGGAACAAGCGACATCAGATGCAATATTGTAGCAAATGCTATAAAACTCCACACTGTATCGTTATTACTGTTTTAGGATAAAGCATATTATTATTATTATTGTATCCTTTAGTTCCTAGAGGAACATAGGGCTTCAGCTGCGCACCTCCATTGCCTTCGGTTTTCTGACAACTTTTTCACCCTGCTCCAGGTCTGTCCACATGCTTTCATCTCCTCCTCGCATGATCTCTTCCAAGTCACCCTTGGACGACCAACTCGCCGCCTCCCTTTCGGGTTCCACTCGAGCGATGACTTGTCTAGTGATGTCACTTGATGGATTCCTCAGAGTATGGCTAATCCATCTCCATTTCTTCCTGCCTATTTGTTTCACAATCGGTTCCTGATTGGTTCGCTCCCAGAGATCCCTGTTGCTGATCGTTTCTGGCCGGCCATCTGTTCTTGAGTGGAGTATTGAGCGCAGACAGCTGTTAATGAAGGTTTGAAGTTTGTTTGAGATGCTCTTTATGACTCGCCAAGTCTCTGATCCGTATAGTAGCACTGACTTCACATTGGAGTTGAAAATCCGGATCTTATTTTTGATGCTGAGTGCTGTTGACCTCCACACAGATTTGAGAGTAATGAAAGCTTGTCTTGCTTTTCCGATTCTGGCTTTGATGTCCTCGTCAGCTCCGCCTGTAGTTGAGACGATGCTTCCCAGGTAGGTGATCGTTGGCGATCTATATTATTATTACTAATAATCAATAAATGAAAGTAATCAATAATGAATTTATTCTATTCGGAAAAGAAATATGCATCTACTCACCATCATGTTCTGAGTATTCCATACTTTTATCTATTGGACTGTTGAACGTCTCATGTTCACTTTCATAGTACTTATTCTTATAATAATTCATTGATTTGGCATAATGAGAATTTGAATAAGCTGGAAATAGGCAAAAAAAAACACTAATTAATTATTATTATTATAATGATAATAAAAAATAATACTGCAAATGGGAGAAATAAAGAAGAGAAATTGCTAGGAATTATGAATTATTATTCCCAGTGGATTCTGAGTGGAATATAGGGCTATTTTCTGCTATTCTTTTTCAGCTACATCCATGACTACCCTAAAATCTCTCGTCTCCCCCCTTACAATTCTCACGATTTCTTCCATGTCATCCTCGTACCAACGACACACTCGTCGCTTCCAATTAGGATATTACTCGAGCAATGACCTGCATTGAGCGCGATATCATTCGACGATTTTTTTCCCTCAGCATATGCCTGATCCATCTCCAATTTCTCCTACATATTTGTTGAGCGATTGACTGTCGCCTGTTGGTTTGTTCTCAGCTAGAGTTGCTTGTTCCATTTTGGGTAAAATTTATCTTGATAAAGCCTAACAGTGTTACACAGTGATACTTACCGATGACGTTTCGAGGACAATTTATATCAAGGGTGTGAGTACCTTGAATTATACTTTACTATAGTACACTAGTTTTATTCTTATATCAGATTTGCTAGTTGTTAATTATTTCTGGCCGACCATTTGATATTTATTTTATGGAACCAGCGAAGGTAGCTATTCATAAAACTTTTTAACTTTGTTAGAAGTCGTTTTCATGACATGCTGGCCAAGTTTTATAACCCGTATAGAAGAACTGACTGAATGGCTTCACATCTCTGTTGAAATTCGGTTCTTGTTCCTTATGCTGACTGACTACAAGTGGAGAAGATTTTCAAACTGGTTTCAGGTTTTGATGGAGGTTTGTCTTGCCAATCCAACTCTGGCTAGTTTTGATATCTTTATCCTTTCCACCTGTAGTTGAAACGCTGTTCCCTAGATAAGTGAATGAGATTGCCTTTGATAAGTCTCTCCATTTCATGGTGATTGATGGTGCTGGTTGTTGCTGTCGGTTAGATAGTTGTCTATGCGCATCACCTCTGTCTTCTCTATGCTCACCCGGAGTCTTGTCTTCGCTGTATCGCTTCTTCGAATTTCTGTGGCATTAAACATAAATCACCCACGCGCGTAACCCACATCTTCTAGAGTCGTTTTATTGGTGGTCCAGTGTAATCCTGTCTTCTTAGAGGTGTGCTGTATACAAGTAGTGCAAGATTATACCTAACGCCACATAGTCACTACTCAGTCCACTACATCATATAAGCATGCAAACTAGGAGCCGATTTGTCATCAAAATTCAACATTTCGCACCAGTAAATTCAATCAATTCAAAATAAAAACTGATAAAAGTTGGATAAGAGGCAATCCTAAGGGCTCACTGGCTAAGTTTTTACAACGTATTAGCATTTGCAGCGTTTGGTGTTGAGTTCAATTTCCAGTGGGAACACCATCACTCAGTGCCACTCAGCTACATCCAGACAATAAGTTCCAGATAGGACTTATTGTGAGGTCCTTGAATCTACCGTCAACGAATAAATATGTCAGAAAATAGTTTATACACTCTAGAGGTTTTGTAGTTGTCTATGGTAATAATGTGGTGTTTAGACTGTAGAGAAAAGTAAGCCAATTCATTTCTGTGATAAATTTTCAGTATGTACGAGGATTGGTAGGAACATCCTTATCCAATTGGAATGTAGATACATGCAATTTGAGAATCCTTAACGGCACTAAAGTCAAGCCCCGAGTTTTATATAGGACAGCCTTGACTGGTTTTGAATGACCAACTGATAGGATTACTGGTAATTTTATTTACTTGCATTTAGTTACGTAATCAGATTGTAGCTTTAATAAAGAACAGCATAACAGAGTCTTTCCAAACCGGTCTGGAATATTTCAGCCGTCTATTCATCATTACCAGACTCAGTTATTTACACACATATTACATTTATTCCTATATCGGTAAATGTACTAAGAGAAGACAAGGAGAGGAGTTTTCTTCAGGGCGCTAAGCGTGGGCGGCTTTTTTCGGTCTAAGATTCATGGATTTTGTAATAAATCGTTCATGATAACGATTCTCGACGAGGATGCTCTTGAGACTGTCCAGTTCATCTTCTATAGTATCCTAGACCTCAAAAGCCGGTGACGATTAGCGTCCCGAAAAAGCTCCTCTACATAAACCTTCAATTCAATGGAGATTCATCTGCGGAAATACTGAAAAATCGACTGTTCCGTTCACTTAAGAAAGCCTTCTTCGCAGCTGAACTATGACTAGCCTTCTCCATAAAACCTGTGATTCGTCTGAACGCGAAGGATAAGGTACCACTGCTGACTAGCCTCACTTCAATATGTATCTACGAATTCACCTGCTTGTGTGGAGCCAGATATGTCGGCTGTAGCCAGTGTTGGCTATCCAAACGTATCACCAAACACTTGCCAGAATGGTTTTACAGAGGAGAAAAACGATACCCCTGCAGCTGTATCTTAGAACATTTGTTAGATGCCAGACACCAAGCTACACTTCAAACAAATTTCAAACTTCACAGAAAACGAACCAGTCTTCCTGAAAGTGTACGAATCAGACTTCTTCAAACTGCAGAAGAAATGACAATTCACTTGCTAAATCCTGAACTCTGCATACAGAAGACGTTCGTTCAATCACTACACTTGCAATGGACGTAATCTATCTTAATACCCCGACAGGTAAATTCTATTTCTTTCTCTCTTTCTGTCTCTTCATTAGTATTATTTTGTGTCTTTAATTGTATTATTTTACATTTTCAACTTTTCTGTTCTCTGCCTCCAGCCCGATTTAATTTCTACACTTCATTACCACTGTTACTGACTTGACCAACGATCAATTCCTAGTCATTTATGTTACGTCATCCAACTTATTTGCTCAATTTTAGTCCTAATTTAAGTGGCATTATTCCCTACCTCACCTCTACTTAGTCTCTACCTGTAATTACCTCAGTTACTATCCTGACCTGAGTTCAAATATTTTAGTCAATTATATTGCATCATGTAACTTACTAACTGAAACAATCTTACTTTAGTTGCTGTCTAATTAATCTTGTTTCTATATTAGATCATTCTTGCATAACCTGATCAATTTTCTAAACTTGACAAACGTCATGTATCATGTACACATACAATAAATAGTTATATATAATTGTAATTGTACAGCTATGTGAATTAATTCGCCGGCGAAAAGAGTCTCTTCGCTGAACGTCTTCTGTTTTTCATATGACTCAAATATAATATGCACAGAGACAGTTTTAACGAAGTCTTATGAATCCCTTTTCTATCAATCGATTTGAGATTGTTCTTTTGAATAAATAAGGTTACAGGCAATTTATTCAATTATAATTTTAATCAAAAACCGATTTCAGTGGTCGAAATCGTTTAAAACCAGTAGCAAACATTGGAAAAACATTTCGTCCTCGTTTGCGATACTCCAGTAGCGGGCAACAATGGACCTACTGTGGATCAAACCCTGCACTATAAGATTACAAGGCGAATTCGTGATCAACAGTAGGATCATTCAAATTCCTGAAAATCAACACTTATCCAGTAGTCATAGTAATATATGACATAAACAAAAATCTAGAAGGTAATTGAGAAATCTATTTTCCTTTTCGTAATTTTCTTAAATTGCGCCGTTTCAAACAAACGGATATTATGAAGATGACATTTTATGGTGTATAGTATTTGACATTCATTACACTTCTAAAGGTCACATTCCCTTAATAAAACTATTAATTTTCTACGGGAAGAAAGTTATTAATTATAAAGCGTTGAACCAAACAAACAGCGTATTTAACACACTGAACATTGAACGAAATGTAAAGCGCACCATTTGAATTAGTTAAAGAAGTATATTTATATGCACAAATTACCATTAAAGTTATTCAAAGTATATGCTTTTAAAGTTTTATAAAAAAACGAAGGACTGAAAGCTTTTAAATTTGTATAAACCTGTCAGTGTAGAATGAACTATTAATTTATCAGAACCGATGAAAAATTCTCTTTTTCGTGTTCCTTAACTGTGAAGTAGAATTAAATGAAAAAGTTGTTTAAAATATCATTTTCCCACAGACTGGAAGATATGAAAGTGAAAAGAAACAAGTTGGCGATAGAAGAAGCATACAGAGAATATAGGCCTTCTCGTGAATATAGAGAAATCAGAGGTGATGAAGATTCCTGGTCAATAGCTAAAGCCACAGCAACTACAACAGACAACAATCAGCAAAAATGGAAGAAATTGGAAAGAAGCTACCTCATTCACCTACCGATACGGGAAGCATCGCTTCAACTGCAGGCAGACGAAACTGATAAAAATATCAAAGCGAGGATCCGGAAAGCAAAACAAGCTTTCATTACTCTCAGGTCTGTGTGGAGATCAACAGCACTCAGCATTACGATGAAAATAACATCCGGATTTTCAACTCCAATGTGAAGTCAGTGCTAATTAATATACGGGTCAGAGACTTGGCGGTGCTCCGCCTCACGAAGGACAGTTCGAACAAACTACACACCTTTATCAACAGCTGTCTTCGCTCAATTCTACTCAAGATCAGATGGCCTGTCAGAAAACTTCAGCAATAGTGAGGGACCTCTGGCAATCAACGAACCAACCAACCCAGTAGGAAGCTAGTGTGCAACAAATATGCAGGAAGAAATGAAGGTGGATTGACCATGCTCTGAGAAAACAAACCATCAGGTGACATCCACCACAGACCAGGCCGTCACTCGCCGAACGGAAATTGGCGAGTTGGTCATCAGTGGAAGGGTGATGTAGAGGAGGTCATGTGAAGAGGGAATGAGAGCAATGGAGACGTGTTGCTGAAGCCATATGTTCCTCTAAGAACTAAAGGAAACAGTAATAATAAAGTAATAATAATTATAAATAATACAGTATGACTTATTCTTCCAAGTGGAACATAGGCCTTCAACAACGCATCTTCATTGTTTTCTGTTCTCTGAAGTCCTTTTTTCAACCTGACTCATTGATTGCCTGTTTCTCCCATTTCTTCATA